TGAGACACCCCGTCCGGCTGTAGTTAAGTAATTAATTATCATACATTGTAACCTATATTTTTTTTTTATCAATCATTACATGAAATAAAAGGAGGTTTAAGCATGTAAGTGGATGAGTTATCAACTGCTATGTAACGACCCACTCTCGCACTTAGTGGCTGGAACAGTGACTTCTTATTGCTCGGATCTTTGTCAGTTGACAAGGCAGTTTCTTTGCTCCACCTGGTACATTCAGCAGGTGGAGGGGCAGGGCTTGTGTCCAGGGGTCGTGGTTCTGGCTTTTGGCCAGGACATTCTGGATCTCTCTCGCATGGCTTCTGGTCTGTAGGGGCCTCCCCATGCTGTCCTTTGCAGCAGGGTGACCTCCGGTTTCTTATGTGGCAGCTGGGGACCAAGGCAGCAACAGCAGACACTGCCAGGCCTCACAAAGGCAAGGCCCAGACTGGCAGAGCTTCACTTCTGCCACCTTGTGTTGGTTAACAACTGTCACAAAGCAGTCAAGAATCGGGGACAGAGAAACAGAACCCACCTGACTGAAAACAGCAGCCTGTGCATAAAGGAAGGGGAGGATTTGACAGCTATCTTTGTTTTCTTGTATTGTTTTGTTTTGTTCTGTGAGACAGAGTCTTGCTCTGTCGCCTGGGCTAGAGTGCAGTGGCGTCAGCTTAGCTCACAGCAACCTCAAACTCCTGGGCTCAAGCGATCCTCCTGCCTCAGCCTCCTGAGTAGCTGAGACTACAGGTGCACGCCACCACGCCCAGCTAATTTTTCTATTTTTAGTAGAGACAGGATCTTGCTCTTGTTCAGCCCTCGGCCTCCCAGAGTGCTAGGAATTCAGTCCTGAGCCACTGTGCCCAGCCTGAACAGCTATCTTTGAAGAGTATCTACCACATTAAGCCACGGGATATTTTCCCCACAAAAGAAGGAACTGTGATTTGGATTATTGAAACTGGTCTGGAACCATGAATCTGAACTTCAGAGAATTTGACTAATTCCATCTATTCAAACTGTCATCCCTCACACATATTTCTGTAAGGTATAATCTCTCCCATGTTAGCCTCATCAAAAAAAGATTTCATGGAAAATAAAGATAAGGTCTTAATTCAGACAGGAAGGAACATGTAGAAAAACAGGTTGTAGTTCCATCAGATAATTTGTACCCAGCAAACTAAATACCCCTAAAAAATAAATATTCGGAGGGAGGAATGGTTGACTCCAAAATTATTTGCAAAAATGAGAAAAAAACAGTAGTTCATTCTAACTGATGCCAACTCTGGAGAGTGGAAACTCATCATTCTTCTGTCCTAAACTGGCTTTTCTACTTGATTACCATTTACTTATTAATAGAATCACTCTTCCCCCACCAGTGAAGCTCAGATTCCCTAAATGTGATGATCACTCTACCTTTCTTCCTCTTAGCAATTCTCCCTTCATTGTATTTCTCACATTCACCGTTGTATCCACAATAGAGCTCAGGTTTTCACAGGACTAAACCAAAGTGACTACAGTTTCCTCCTGTTTCTGATTCATGCCTACTCCCAACCCAGGACACCTGAACAATGTCACTCCAAAAATGTTTCTTCTTTCCTTGTTCTCACTCAAAAATTTCAGTGACTCTTCACTCTCTCCACTGCCCCTGGTGGGGGCTGGGAGGATGGTTTTCACAAGCCACCAAGGGATTTAAAAAAAAAAAAAAACTAGATGCCTCTCTTTGGAAATTCTAACTACATGCCTGTTTCATGCCTGCCCTTCGCCCCCCTGTCCCCCCTCTCCCCTACCTCCCCAGCCGTCCCGACACACACTCAAGAAGGAGACAGTAATCGCTGGTATGTGTATCACATACCTATGTTCTGGGATAGAAAAAAAAATGGTTAAGAACCACCGGACCATAAAATAAAGTTCAAATTCCCTGTCAGGTACTAGATCTCATATCCAATCTATTTATCTTCTTAATATTTTTCCCACCAACCTTGACAGAAAACCAGTTACTACTAGAAATAGGATTAAAACCATTAGGAAACTTGGTCCTCATTATTCCAAAGTTTAATGGGAGAGAAAAACACAAACACAGAACATTAAGGAAGAAAACTGGGGCGCTAACGGCAGTGAGCGAATGCAGGCTCATGCTGCCAGAGCTGAAGGGAGAGCTTTGCCCTCCTCAATCATACTGGATTAAGAAGAATTTCTCCCTGTGGGTGTCATATAATAACTTCCTTTCTATGGAAATGTCATACAAGCAACTGTTTATTCTCTTATTCTAGGCTCACCTCATGCCAAACAAGGGTGCAGGCTAAACAGCAAGCCCAAGAGCCAAGACAACATAACAATTTTCTGACAGATCCTGAAAACAAGTAAGATATATTCTGGTAGATTTTGCTAACCACCCAAAGTGTCTAAAATGGGAAAGAAAACAAAACTAAACAAAAAAAGGAGACACTGTGGGTATGTGCTGTTCATTCATATTTTGTAGGCTGCCCTACTGTTTGTTTTCTCAGCTATTTTTATTAATAATGAGCAAAACAGAAAAACAGAGTGAGTCACAAATAGAAAATGCATATTTAGGGTCTCTAGCTAAGAAATGGAAGATGACAAAGAAAGTAAGGAGCAGGGACCGACTCCCTGGAAACCCAGGAAGGATTGATTCATCCGAGGGCATTAACTGTGCACCTCTCCCCCTTCCACCAGGGGGCTTGTCCTGTGCCCGCAGGTCAGTGTTTCGTGTCCTCAAAAGGAAGCTGGGCCTGGAAGGTGGAAGAATATAGACCTGGGGTCCAGACAAAGTTAGCGCCAACTCCTGGTACCATCGCTTTCCAGCAAAACAAACCTATTTCTTCCTCTGTGAAATGTTCTTTCCTTTGAGAAAAGAAAAAAATAAAACCTTTCTTGAAGATAATTTGGTGAAAATTAAGAGATGATATGTGTGAAGAGACCCGTTCACAGTGGACCATCAATAAATTGTAGCTATTATTTTTGTCAACACTAAGCCAGGGTCACTATTAATCCATCACTACATGCCCCAAAGACAAAGCACAGTGAGACCACCAGTGTTAGCTTCCCAACAAGTCAAGGAACCATCAAAATTCACTAGCTGTAGGATGGAAGCAAAGATATTAACTTAACTTTGTCCCTCATACACATGGGTATAATAGCATCAAACTATAATCCCTATAAGGGATTAAGAGAAATTATTTTAGAGTTTAGGTCAGGTCAGTAACTGGCACATAGGAAACACCCAATAAATGGTAAATGTTTTTATTGCCATTTGCCTTTACAAATTTAACAAGAAAGGAGAAAAGACTTACTGTTCAAGATTCTGAATTTCCAAACATCTTCCCTACCAAATGTCACCTCCTATCACCCATGAGTACAGATGAAATTAGACCCTGCCTTTGAATTTTGCTTTTCAGATCTTTTTCCTTTCCACATTTTGTTTTCCTTTGCAAAGGGGGCATTAATGTTTTTACAAAGAGTCCTATTTGTTTATCTACTTTAGAAGGCACAGTTGAGAGTTAATTAATTGTAAGGGCTGTTGAGTGAAGAGATGCTAACATGAGCACAAATAAATGACATCATTATTTTCTTCTATGCTAACTGTGGTGAAGCTTTCAGTCACATGCAAGTAACTAAATATTGCATAATATGTACTTTGGCCATCAGTGCTTCTTACTCTAGTTCAGCTCCCTCTGATTCCAGAAGAGATGGGCCATTTAAGATGACTCATCTAAGGGACTTCAGTCATTTCACCTTCAGAAACCTTTCAAATCTCTGTATGATAAAACTAGACACGAAGAAAGTGTAATGTTTGAAGTTGAGGCACAGTTCCTGCAACTGTGTCAGTAGCAGGTAGCAAACACCATACTCCATCGGGAGGGATAAAAGAGGAACAGGGTGCTTTGATGTGTGAAGTGTCTAAGGTGAGGTTTCTTATTTTACACTTTCATTTGGAGGGCAACACGAATGGGACTCCAGCTGAAAGAAGTCTAGGGTGCTCACTGGGACCCATCAACAGTTTTAAAAACATCATTCGACTCTGATCCAGCCTTTAGAGAGAGCCCACTCAGCACCAGGCCCTCAGTTATATTTTTTCCCTGTTGCTGAATTTCCAGAGTCTCGACTGGCAGTTTCTCGCCAAGCTTCGAGCCTGGTGCATTCTTCTTTATTCGTCAGTCTACCCTTCATGGTAACGTGGTAAAGAATCGATAATTTATCAGATAATTGCTCTCTTCCCTTTATTTACTTGATGTAGACACAGCAGATCCATGTCGTTGTGGTCAAAACAACACGTCTTCCCTAACGGCAGTGCTTTTCTACCTACCCGGAATTAAGCACCCGGGGCCCCCACTGGAGCTGCACTAGGCACCGCGCCGGCGGACAAGAGGTCCTTCAAAAGCAGCTGCTTGGTTACATTTAGGCTGCAACTTTGTTAGCCAGGAAGGTGCCGTTTCTCCTTTGCAGATATGCACCTGGGTGCGAACTTTAAAAGCTTCAGGCGAATGAACAGCCCCGACTGCGAGCCCCTGACGGCGAGCCCAAGGCTGGGGGCCACCGCAAACAGCGCGCCGGCCTGGCCGGTCACGACCGCAGCAGGCACCGCTCCGGCCTGCTCCCCTCCCACGCCTGAGGATCCCGACCGCCGCCGCGGCCTCAGGGCCACCTCGAAGCTACGCGACGCGACGGCTGTGAAGCGCGCGGCACGGACCAGACGCCTGACCACCGCTCGCTGCCGCCCTCCTCCCGCCAGCTAGGGCCCCGCGCCGCCGGAAGTCTGCGGGGTGAGGGGGGCCCGCGCCGCCGGAAGTCTGCGGGGTGAGGGGAGCCCGCGCCGGCGCCGCCGCCGCCGCGGGACTGCGGACGGCCCGCACTCGCGAGCGCTCCGCGGCGTCGGGCGCGCCTCGAACTCCACAGGCAGTAACTGCCGCCCCGCCCCGCCCCGCAGCACATTATAATGACATCAGCGCGACGACCAGAGCGGAGAACCGGGCGGGCACGGCGAGCGCAGGCCCAGCGCTACCTGGGGCACGTCGTCGCCCCGGCCGCCGACGTCACGGCGTAACGTCCCGCGCGGGCGTCTCTGGGAAGGCGCGGGAGGGGAGGGGCGAGGAGCGGTACCGCCGGCGCCTTTTAAAAAGCCCGCTGGAGCCCCCTGGTGGCCACTGGCCGTCATAGGCCTCTCTGCGCAAACAAGGCCGGAGGCTTCGGGAAGCCCGCAGGGCTGCGGCCGCGTTTGTCTTCCTTCTCGCCTCGCTGCGCAGGGTTCCCCCGCAGAAGCTGTTGGCGGGAAAGCAGCCGCTTCCTCACAGGCCTGCCTCAAATGTAGACGTTATCTGAGGCATGGCGTCGAAGCGACGGTGTCCATTTGGGGAGGCGTTCTGAAGCAGCCTGGGCCTCGCCAGGAAAGGACGGGCAGAGCGGGCGGCTCGGCGGCCGGGCGGGCCAGGCCGCGCGCGGGCCGCGCCCACACCCACTCCCGCGCGCGCGAGGAGACGAGACAGTAAGTCGGGCTCTGCCCCTACAACGTGTGTTTCCCGCCTGAGTCCGCTTCTCACGCCCGGCGGGAGCCCGCTCGGGCTGCTCCGGGCCGGGGAGGGAGCCATCCGGGCTCCGGCCTGTCCGGACGGGTGCGGGCCGCGGGCTCTGCCGACACCGGCACCGGCGCTCCTGGCGGGGCCTGTCGTGTCGGGAGAGACTGAGCGAATGCCCGTTGTTTCTGTGAGGGGTGGTGGAGGTTGAAGCAGCGACGTCGTTGGGTCATTCACATTAATCTGTAACTCGGCCTTCCAAGTTCAGGTCCTTCCTTGCGGTGGTAAGGCCCAAGGCTAATTCCTCCTTCAGAATTGGGGGACAGCACAACACAAGGTGACGTCCACTGAGAGACGGGGCACCGGCGTCTCCAGCAGGGCCCGGAGACAGACCTGGGCGTAGCCACTGACGGCTTCACTTCGGAAACTCGTAACCTCGGTGCTGTTAAATGAGCAGGGCCATTGGCCCGAGTGTCTCCGTACTTTGAGTTCCTACATAACCAACAACCTAACGTGGTGCATAAACAAACCAAAACCCAATTTAGGAGTATTTTGTTGTTGTTGTTACAGGTAGCCAGGTTTCAGCCAATCACAAACAACCAAGCTTTAGCCAACCACAGGCATCCAGCTGATGCCACCGTGCCCAAACAAGGCACCTGCCTGGCTGAAGCCCATGAGATGAGTTCTGCACTTTTCTTCTGTGTTCATCCTCTAAAAACTTGCTGTTCACACTGTTGTGTGGAGTTCTCTAAACCTCTCCTGGTTCGGAGCGCCATCCAATTCATGAATTGTTCTTTGCTCAAATAAAGTCTGTTAAATTTAATTTGTCCAAAGTTTCTCTTTAGCAGACACTCTGGCTTCTCCTGTTGACTGTCCCGCCTTAGTGGTCACTGGAGGGAGGTTGAGCTATCTCTTTTGGCATCAGCGGTGACAGGAAACATCACCCCAGACAGCCAGAACCGAAAAGGAAAACGGCAGACAGCACAGGTTTCCAGGGGCTATTTAGTTCATCATTCGTGCGTCCTGTAATCATGCTTTCTGTAGTGGGTTCAGTGGATTCCTCCCAAAAGTATATGTCTATGTCCAACCCCCTGGAATCAGTAAACATGACCTTATTTAGAAAAACCATTTTTAAAGATGTAATTAAATTAAAAATTTCAAGATGAGATCATCCTGGAGTATCGAGCTAAGCCCTAAATTCATTGATGAGTGTCCTTATAAAAGACACAGAGGTAAGATTAGAAAGATAATGATGAAAATCACATGCAGACAGAGGCAGATATTGGAATTATGCAACCACGGTCCAAGGGATGCCTGAAACCACCAGAAGCTGGAAGAGGCAAGAAAGGATTTTCTCCCAGAGTCTTTAGAGGAAACATAGGCCTGCCTACACCTCAATTTTAGATTTCTGGCCTCCAGATCTGGAACAGAATAAATTTCTGTTATTTTCGGCCACTCAGCTTATGGTTATTTTTAAAGGCAGCCCTAAGAAATTAATGCACTTGCAAAACATACTAACTGAGCACATTATCTATGCCAAATACCATCCCAGGTACCAGTGATACAACAAAAAAAAAGACCCTGGTCTCATAGAGCTTATGTTACAAAGAAGAAAGAGATTATACACTGGTGAATAAACAATCAAGAAAATTTTTGAGAGTGAAAAGTCCTACAAATAAGTATGTCTAACATGACCTTGTGGCAAAGAGTAATTGAGGGTTGCAACTCCAGATAGAGTGATTAGGAAAGACTTCTCTGAGGAGGTAACATTTTAGCTGATAACCATCCAGAAATATCCTGAAAAAAAGTGCAAAGAATCTTAGGGATATTGGACTTTTTCAAGAAGTCAGGGTAGAGCCAGAAAAATGCTATTTTATAACTATTACTGTGCCCCCAGTAAGGTCCCCAAAATTGTTTTTCAAACTGTATTCCTTGGAGCCCTGAGGTGTTCCACTAAAACCCAAGCAGGGGCCACAACTGGAAGAAGGGTGGAGGAGACCCAGGCGGGGCTCATTGTCCCTACACCTCTGCTGATTACAGCAGCTGTGTGCCCTCTAATTTTCTGTACAACAGCTGCCAAATAAGACTTCACTTTAGAAAGTGTTCCACTGCTGAGAGAAAATTTGAAAACTACTGCTCCACATTGGTGTAGCCTAGGAAACATGAAATTGTGCTATGTAGAATATGTTTTATCCAGGGCTTTCCACCTTTCAAAGCACAGCCATCAGTTCACCAGGTTCTATACAAACTAAAAGGCATGGAACTTTCTCTCCTTCTGCCTGAATTCCTGCCTCCCGTTAATTGAAATCCATTCCTCCAAAATATCCTGGTTTTTTTCTCAAGAAAGGAGGCATTATTTCACTGAAAGACACATATTGATTATATGGATTATTTTTTTGACTCATCATTCAATAGTTCAGGTTTCCATATTTTGCCTAAATATTTTCTAAGGATCCTATCCTTTGTAAGATGCTTCAGTTGCTTCACAGCAGCTAATACTAAAATGAATCCAAAGAGGCAATGAAATAGAATTTCCTGTTAGCTGGAAATCTCTGTCTACAATAACAACCAAAAATAAAAATAAAAAGTGACAGTAGGGTACACTCAAATTGTAAACCCCTATGGGCTAATTCTAGACTTCTGAGACCTAAGATATCAGTTGGGAGTAGATTGTGAGTAAAAGAAAAATCCAGAATAGAAGTGGCACAAACAAGAGAGAAGGAAAATTTTATTTTTCTCCCCAAGAAGTTTATGTAGTCAAGCCAAATCTACCGTGACAGTCTATAGAGCTAGGGACCCGGTTCTTTCCACCTTATTTCTCTGCTATGCATGGAGCTTCTATCCCAAGACCATCTCATGGCTCAGCATGGCTGCTTGAGTCCTAACTACTGTATCCAAATTTCCACCAACAGAAAGGACAAAGTGGAAAGACATGCCTTATCACTTTAAAGACACCTCTTGGAAATTGCAGTCTGTACTTCTGCTTAAACCCATCGGCGGAAACATAGCCATGTGACCAAACTCAGCCATGTCAACTAAAAAAAAAATAGTGTTTGAAAGAATTAAAGTTTGTTTCATTCAGAGCCTTACTAAGGACCACAATCCCAGGAGAATTTTTCAGAGAGTTTCTGTTAGACTGCTCAAAAGCAGTGTCTCAGCTCACAGCTCACAGATCAGATGGTGGAGGGTCTCCATGTGCTCAGAAGTTACATCGAACACACTCAGAAGTTACATTAGAACAAAATCTCATCAAAGGTTGGGTGCAGGATTACAGACGCACAATCATTAATCTGATCAGATGTTATATGAGGTACAGGAAAAGGCAAGAGGTAGGATCATTGAACTGACGTTTTCTAAAAATGCAGTGACTCAGGCCAGAGAGGTGGGCACCTGTGCTGTGTCCTGCTTTTTGTCTTCGAGGCGCCCTTCTGGAAGGTTGTGCTCAGCCAGAGTCGGCCTCTGTAAGCTATGTCGACAAGCGGATGAGCAAATAGGGCTTCTGCCCAGCAAGGGTGACTGCGTGGACGGCCAGAGTAAACGTGCTACTACTTTGTGTCAGGGCCACAGGGCGCTGAGAAATGTAGTCTGTTTTCCAAGTAGCCATGCACCCGCCTGGAGTTAGAGGTTTTGTCACTGGCCCCTATTCACCTCCGTAGCCTCATCTCGCTCTGTGCCCACCCAAGCCCTGCCATGCCGGCCTCCCCGGTGCCTGGGACTTCCGACGGGCGGTCTCTGTATGTGCTGTCCTCCTCCTGTATGTGCTGGGCCTCTCTTCCCCCTCAGCCCGGACGCCTTATCTATTGAATTCCTGTTTATCCTTCAGATCTGAACCAAAACAGTCCCAGAGCGATCTCACACCAGGTTGAATGCCCCACTGTACAATTTCAGAGGAATATACCCTTCTCAATTGTAGCAATTATTGCAGCTGTATTCTGACGTTTACTTGTGTGGTTATTTGATTAATCATCATTTCCTCCTTCAGGAAGTCGGTTTGTCTGTTATTCGCGGCTCTATCCTTGCCCACTTGCTTAAAACCTGCTGCTTAGGAGATGCCCAGTAAATATGAGTTAAGCAAATTAATACCATTTAAATTTCCGTTTCACAAACATGCTGCAAAGTTCCGCTTGAAAAATCTATTTGTAGTCTGGGTGCAGTGGCTCACACCTATAATCCCAGCACTCTGGGAGGCCAAGGCAGGAGGATCACTTGAGGTCAGGAGTCGAGACCAGCCTGAGCGAGAGCAAGACCCCATCTCTATCATTAATAAAAACAGAAAAAATTAGCCGGACATGGTGGCACTTGCCTGTAGTCCCAGGTACTCACAAGGCTGAGGCAGGAGGATCGCTTGAGCGCAGGTGTTTGAGGTTGTGGTGCAGAGAGACACTGTCTCAAAAAATAAAATAAAAATCTATCTGTGATAAGAACAACATCTATGACCAATTACAAACTTTTTTCCCTTTATATCTGCCTAAATTATGGTTTTCCACAAAATAAAAATATAAATATTTTCTTCTCCATAATCTGGAAGGGCTGAAGGTTTTTGGTGGGAATGGGGTTGCTAGTATTAGTGAACTTGGGGGTGAGGCAGTGGGGAAGGGTGTTTTATTTCTATTTTTAGTCTTCCTCATAGCTTCAGGCCCTAGGCATTTTTCACCCACTCCCAACCTCATCCATAGCTAGCTTTACATTTTTGCATGAAGTCATCCTTGAAAACATTTCTTCAATACACTCTAATCAGAGTAGCAACCTTGCTCTCATATTGCAGCCAGTCTGATCCAATTCTAATCCAGACAGCAAGTTCATTCCTCTAACTTAAAAAGTCCCCTGTTAGCAGCTTTATTGGAAAATCCTCTTGTGTGCGATTCACCAGCACTCACTATTGGGGACAGGGCGGGGGGTGGAATTAGGCCTTGTTTAGGGAATAAAAATTGTAAAACTCCCAACACTAATCTTTCACTACAGTTGAGTCACATCTTTGTGTATCCCTTTGTGTAGAGATAGCCATGAATAATAAAATGGCTATGAGAGTGAGAAAAAAGAATCAAGATCTGATTATGTTGGTGATATTTTCTAACTGTGGCTTTATATATGACCCCATTGTTTAATTATCTTGAATCATATTGTCCTTCATAATGATTAAATGATAGCAGAGTAGAGAAAATATTTATTGAATGTTTACTCTTTGTCATGCAGAACTGTCAAAGCATTAGGGAAATGTAGGTTAATCTAGCATTAGAAAACCAAAGACACTAGAGCACCCGGTATTTGAAAGTCACCGTGTCTGGCAATATGCAGTGTGTATATATAAACAGTATACAAAACCCTCCACCTACAGATGGGTTAACACAACTCATAAACCTTTCGCCTGAGTTCTTTCCTTTCCACATCCAAATCTTGACACGTACCATCATGAATACCTTTACCCTTCACTTGGGTTTTAGATTATTAACTCAAGCTACCTCCTTGGATCTCCGATTTATTTATTAGGTGTCTTTCCCCTCCCAAAGGATTGTCAGAGAAGAATCTAGTGCACTGGTAAGCAACCCACGGCCTGCCCACTTGGCTTTGTGACACCATCCACTACATAACTTCAGGAACAAGAAGTGACAATATTAGTATTCATAAGTGATATTCCCACCCATAATCACATTTTTATAGAACCCTTGTGTGTTTTCTCTCACCTTCAGGTTCTACATTCTATTCCCTTTGTCTGAAACCCACAGTCTCCTTCTGCCTAGCAAATTCTAAATTATCTATTACATGCCAGCTTTCACATCTCTCTAAATCTAGTCAGTGTTCCTAGTGTATAGCATTTATCATACT